AAATAAGCCTTGTGTGCATAGAGAAAGTCTTGGATCTTTTATTTCAAGTGTTGAGTTTATACTTCAGTGTTCAGTGTAATTACATCATGCCTATGCCCTCAGATGTAAGTTAAAGTGTAATTTATCAAATCATTTCCTGACGTTTAGGTGTTTGCCATGATATCATTTCAGTATCAGTACTGACATATTTAGTATTTAGTATTTAGTATCATAGCAAAGTCATAATTTTGGTATCATTGACATCACTAAAAGCTACGTGTTGGTATTAGCTATTAGCTAGCTAACCTAGCTCAGGTTGGCTTACACTTCCTCAGAAGTTAAACCTCGAATGCAAGACGAAGCCGAAGCAGGTGTATTGCTGCACTAAGCTACAATGTGTTCTTCTGTCCTGTCTTCTGGTATTGGCGCTGTTGGATAAATGCAGCTGAGCCAAATACAAAGATTGATGGAAAAAAAACATACTAACTAATAATAATATTGTCTGTGCACACTTCATATGTTTAGATTCGCTTAAGTCTTGGTAGTCTCGCCACCAGACAATCTGAGATCTCCGCCTTATGATAGTCTGGGGACATTCCTTTCTAAAGTGTGTTTAACACACTGGCGAAAACGGCCGGCAACAAAGCAACGCCTCTTGCATTTTTGAAAAGGACACGCCTTCTCGGAAATGTGCACTCCCCCTTTTCTCGTCCTCAAGGAAACAAACACACAGAGAGCTTGAAAATGGATGCTGAGAGATTTAACTCTGTTTTATCAAACGTGTGCTCATCTGTGAAAAAAATATTTTTTCCAGCGGATGTCTTAGTTACAACATTATTGAGTTAACTGGAGTAGTTTCATGTCATATCCGACAACGGGAGGCTTTTAACAGATGACGTCCTGATGTTAGCTTTGCTGCTAGTGTTAGCTGTCCCTGTCAGCTGCAGCCACTGATGCTTTCTAGACATCATGATTTCCCAAAACTGAATAAATACCACACATAGCAACACAAAACTGCTTTGCTAGCTCAGTCATGTTGTAACTAAGATATCCACTGGAAAAGATATTTTTTTCACGGATCGTTTAATGAGTTATTACCTATTACAGACACCGCTAACGGCTAACAGGGCTAACAGCTAATGGTTAGCCCAGCTAAATGTGCACACAGAAATAGTAAAGTTTGTTCAATCTTTGTGTTTATAGACTTTACAAACATCGGATTAGTCTAAATGGTGATACAGTGATGTGAAAAATGTGATATACAGACTATATATATAGCTAAAAGCTCTGCTGGTTTTCTACCCGGAAGTAGTAAACAACAAGGCGATTCCCTCTAACGTTATAGTCCGGCCAGACGGATGAGTCATGGCCTTGTCAAAGATTATGTTTGTTTCTTTTAGTTGGTGAGAATGTGTCGCCGCAAACGCGACAAACATCCACTAACTTTGATGGCGTTTTCTGCGAGCGCGGCTGAGCCATTTTGTACCACTACACGTGTTTCTAGTGGGACTATGTTTACAAGCACAAGAGTTCAGCGAGCCACTGAAGAACCGCCCTGCAGATTTACTATTGGTTCTGCAATGTAGGGAGTTTTTTAAACTCTGAAATTGTATCCGCCCATCTAAACACAAAATCTGGGAGAAAGTCATCAGTCTTTAGTTAAGCAAAGCGTCTAAAGACTGACTTGTGAGTCTAAAGTCTTGGAAGCAATGGGAAATGGTTAGGACTAGGCTAAATGGAGAAAATCAGATATCACAATACATTTGACCAAATACCTCAATATCGATATTGCAGTGATATTATAGGGTTGACTGTTGTTGCAACCACAAATAATTATACAATGAGATTTTTAATAGCAAGTGGTTAGAGGCAGCTGAAATAGTCTGATCTTCAGAAAATGACATCACTTTACTGCCGCCTTCAAAACCATGAAAAGACAACACTTACAGTATTATGATCCAAAATCTAAGAAGATATCTGTTCTAATTTCACAATATCAAAATAACATTGATATATTGCCCAGCTCTAGTTAGCACTGATGAAAACTGAAAGACCTGACCTTCTAGCAACTCTACAGCAAATTTGTAGGTCTTGCGAAAACATTTACGTTTGGTAGTGTCATCTAACAGTGGCCACATTGCAGCATTATAATATCTGTTGACAATGTGACACTAAATCTATAGCCTGTCTTGACCTTCACTATTTAAATTGCAAACTTAATTTAAACTTGTTGGCTCTTTATGTATGACGTAACTTTTGTCAAGCTCTTCCTTGACATTAATCTCTCTTATTATCCTGCAAATTGGAAACGAAAACCTCATAGTTACGGTCATCAATGCTTTGCCAAGACTGTTTGCTTTCCATAATATATTTGATTGGATGTTTGCATTCTCCAAAGTGCCTTTCTTTCTGTGAGTGACTGCTTGATATGAAGGCTTATTAAGCCTGTGGCAATCAATAGCAGCCTAAATGATAATGTCCAGTGCCCAACTCAAGAGCTCAAGGCCTGAGGAGAAACAGACCTGCCCTGCCCTTCCTCCCACTTTCTTTTGTACTGCCTTTCCATGTCTTGCAGTCCACAGCTGTAGCAGTCATCACACAACCTCAGGCAGGCTAGTTAGCCCTGAGAAAAGAGCCTGAACCCCCGATCAATAACTTTAGTCTTGTCTGCCTAATTGCTCATTGGTCGACATTGGCGCCAGACTATATGTAAGTGCATGTTCCCCCGAGTGATCGACTTCGGCTCTATTTCCACCACTTCCCGCCTAGTGTTGGGCTCACGGTCTGCCCCTCTCTCTTCTCTCTTTTCTCCTGTCCTCGCCTCTGTTCACCCATGTTCCGAGTGGAGAAAACCTGACCTGATCGGCTTCTTCTCAGTTATCTCAGTGGGATGAGACCATCCAGAGACTCCAAAGAGATGCGTTGCTCCCTCACCAGGCCCGTGACTCTCAAGCTGCTCAGGTAAATATCCGGGTTTAATGACGAACAGGAAGATTAGCCAGCTACTCCCGCTCGCAATTTCAATGAGCGCCAGGAAATTAGCCGGTGTCGTTTGGGGTTTTCTGAACGGCTTATTATATGATCTAATGCAGACGCACTTTATGAGCGTGGAGCAGAGTATGGAGAGGGCAGTATTGATTGTGCTCATTGTGAATTATGTGAATAGATAAAAGTGTGAGTGTGCATATATATTAGGCAATTATGCGCTCAGGTGCTAATGTAAAAATTCTGCTGAATAAATATGAAATATGCCTCTATCAGCATCCAACTTGTGTTCCCTCGACACTAGTCATTTGAGATGATAATTGGGATAGCATGTTTGCCTTTTTCTGATGAGACGAGATATTGTGATAGTTCTCCTCAGTCTGGATTTAAATGTGTATTGATCAGTGTGAGGCTCAGGAGCTCAAATCAAAACAGCAGTACAGCCCCCGCACACTTGCATATATTTCTGCCTTTGTTTTTCACATTATGTTTTGGAGAAATCTTACAGTCCTTGGACATTTAACATCAGTTACTGTGTAACATTAGAAGCTCATTTGTGTTTGTTCTCGCTCTCTTTTTCCAGTAGTAGTGTGCTAATGTCATGATTTAAATGAAGTATTGATCAGTTTAGGAGGGGAGAATAGAGAGAGAGGGAGCGATTGTGAGGGAAAGAAAGCAAGACCAGGGTTATCGGTGTGGATCGCATACAGAAAGAGAGTGCTAACGGATGAGACACGTTTTAAGCGATTCCGTGAAATGGATTTCTGCATAATCTGTATTTTTAATTCAGGAACAACCGCCAGCCTCTTTTGTTTGACTTATTCCGAGAAGCAAAAACGGACATGGAGATGACACAGTGCTTTGAAGAGGGCAGGAATGGAAATAACTGTCTTTTTTTTACTCTTGGTTTTTGTTGATTTCATGGAGTATTTGCCAGCCTGTGTACAGATAGTTTAGTAGTGGTTTGTCCTGGTTCCTGTCTGGGTCTCCATCTTGTCTGGTTTTAATTCCTTCGGCAACGACAACACCGCAGCAGCATCTGGCACACTGGGTTAAAGCCTCCATCCAAGTGAACCAGGAGATAGGTCTGTTTGTCTTCCTCTTACTGTCCTCCCTTCCTTTCTCCCAAGCTCCCTCCTCTTCCTCTCTCTCTCTCAGCATCTTTGGCTCTCTCTCTCCCCCTCCATCCCGTCCCCTCTTGTGATTTAGCACTTCGAGGTAGTATTAATTAGTGGCCTGCTTATTATTGTTGGCGCACTTACTGTGCAGGCAACTGTTGCCAGTTTTGCAAGAGCGGTGTTTTCCACCATTTACTAAATATCAAAAGTATATCGCTGTGTATTCTGTAGCTGCACTGTTTCAGTATAACCTGTTTTTTCCCTCTATAAAACATTGATATTTAAATTTTATATGATTGGTTATCACATGATGTAACACTGTGTTGTCTTTGAATAGGAAATTTGTCATTTTTAGTTTTTAATTTGGATTCATCCTGTTCTTATAGTTAAAAGATTTTGTAAAGTGATTTATTTGTAAATTTTTTTAACAAGAATTATGAAATCCTGAATGTGCAAGTCTTGATTTTGAAGAAATATACATTTTATTTTGTTCCGTGTTGAATGTCATCATCTACATAGAGTTATTGATCAACTGATATATATTTATTTATTTGAATAAAGACATAATCCTAGCCATCACAATAAGTGTATTGTTTATGATTTCATTGTGCAAACATTTGTTTCAATTTAGTATTGAATTTGGTTTCAAGAAAATTAAGCGTTATCTTCAGCAGTCCTTCTGACACAGAATAAGCAGATGCAGGCAGATTTGAGGCCTGCCACTGACAGGACAGGACAGGACCTCTGGTTGGCTTTATTTCCGAGCTTCTGCTCAGGAGGATGGGGAACCATGGTGCATCTTAGCCTCAGCTACAGACTGAGCAGGTTTGCTGCGCAGAGAGGATAGGCTCTGTGTACTGGATTGATTTTTCTCCTCCTCTCGCTGCCCTGCCTCCTTTTGTGGTTCAATAGCTGGACATCCAGGAGCAAGGATCTCTCAGTCGCTGCGTGAACTGCGGGAGAGCCGTCTAGATCTCCGGAGGAACAGAGTCGCATGCAGCAACACCAAAAGCAGCTTCAGAGGCAGACTCAGCAGGCCCAGGAGCTCCAGAGTCAGGTACAGTGCTCACTGCTAGGCCTGGGGTTTTCCAGCAGGCCTCAGACTCATCATGCTTCATGCGCCCATCCCTATTAATGCATTTCAATCTGAGTAGTATTTTGAGAAGCACATTTAAAATATTTCCATCCCAGCATTGCTTCATATTGATTGAACATGGTTTTGCTGGTGCCATCTGATCTGGAATTATGCAGCTTGTGGCGTCACAGTAAAAATGTATATATGTACATTAAGGACTGAGAGACTGATGATCAAAAATGCAACATTATGGCATTTGTGATGCATGTAAGTGCACAAATGTTGCACAGAAAGAAAAATGTGTACTTCACACATGCATGCAGGGATGTATGTCCACTGAGTCAACAGACAAACATGTTCTGTATGACAAACGGGCACTTAGTCACATTGACAGGCAAGACAAACCCTTGATTCTGATGATTGATGACTCGGGTTTCAGACATATATTCAAGAAAAAATGCTGCTTGCCACCTTCCCAGAGGAAAAAACACTGACCAATCTGAACCACTGACTGTTGATTGATGGTGTCTGTGTCACCTGTTGCTAAGCCTCTGGGCAGACTCTGTTTGTGTTGTTCAATGAGAGCCTGAGGTGTCATCTCACTTGCACTCTCTCAGTATTGTTGACTGGAACATTCTCAATGCTGCCTTAGTCATTGTGTGAATTTATACTTATTTTCTCTGTCTCCTTGCTGCTCCTCCAGATGTCATTACCCGGAAATATCCCCCAACATTTTACTCACTTTTTACCCACTCTGATACTCATTCAAACTCTCCAGGACCTGCCGACTGTAAATTGTTCCTGAACCTAATTAAATCTGTTTCAAATTAAAAAATATCCTGTGGAGTTTTTGCCACTTGTGGCACTGTAGAGCAATATTTTGATTAAAGGCTCCCCCTTATTTTGTAACTTGTGTTTTTATAGGGATGCATGCACCAAATCAGAATGAGAACGATGTGATAAACATTATACAGACTGCAAATATCTGTAAGAGTTAGTAGGAGTAATGTGTTGAATATGTAGGAAATGCAGTCAACATATTTGTTAGGCCTAAAGAGGTGTTACTACGAAGCAGATTCAACACAGCCAAGCTGTCTTTGCCTTAGCTAGTCAGAGACAGGTACCACAAAGATGGTTATCGGCTTGCTCTGTTAACCCAGGCTTTCTTCTTCAGGCTTTGTGCACGTTCCCATTAAAAAAAATAGTCAAATGATGTGTTGAGTGTTTCATTTGACTCTTGAAATTGATCGATCCCATGCCGCCTACTTATACTTTTGAAGAATATTATAAATGGAAGCAAATCAGGACCAAGCATACCAATGTAATTCAGAGGCTTCTTTTAGAGCCAGTGTGGGCAAATGAACCAGAGAACACTATGAACGCATTCAGTAGTTCAGGGAGAGCAAGAACAACTTAGTGAATAAAATAAAGATAGATTCTTACTCAGATGCATCACTGATATACTGTAGGCTCCCCTTGCAAACAAACAATCAAACAAATTTAAAAAACAAACAAACCGCAAAGTGATGTGTAGGCGCTACTTTAATTGCACAGCTTAGTTCTGTGGCATTACTAATGTCATGTTATGGCTCAATAAGTTTGCATGTATAAAGTATTCTCTGAGCTGTTTACTATATAGTGACACTGTTTCCAAAGGAGATGATTGGTGAAAGGAGCTTTTTAGCTGATTTCAAGCCAAAAATCAGAAAATAAACAGATCCCAACGAGGTTAATTTTTGTAACCCTCGAATCGTGCTTTGTGGTACACCTATAATGATACTTTATATAATGTGGTTTGGTGCAAAATGACAAATACAAAAGGTTTGTTTATAATGACAACCAAACTCCAAAGGCTCACCTTTAACTCAGCATCTCCATCAACATCCAGCTCATGTGATTTAAAACTCATTGTTATGAGTGAGGACTGTCTGCTGTACTGCAGCATTAACACCCATGAGATCATTATCTCATGTGACCCTGCATTGGTTAAGTATCAACAGCACAAATGAATATTAAAAATACATCCTCAGAGGACTTGTTGGTTTTGTGCAGTGATTATAAAGTTAGATATCGCAGAGCTGGAACAAAGTTCTTCAGGATATAAATAACTGGTCTGTAATCATGCAAATCATGACCGTTTCTTGGCAAGTTGTGTATCTACTATAGATGCAAACTGTCTGCTCGGTGGCAGGTTGTCTGGAATTTTAGTACTGTAAATCACACAACTGTTGAAGTGCACTTGAAGCCTATGTTCAATCTAATGACATAGAATGACTATGGCTAATAATGTAGCTTCATAGTCCACAGTAGAGGTGCGCCATTTGGCTGGATATTTCCTTTTTTTCTACAATAACCTATTATTAAAATTAAAATGAATTATTGTTCTGAGACTGCCAAAAATTAGTCTTCTAAGAGGCTGTATTGATTTATAAAGAATGAAACTTTTATCCTTTTAGCTTCATTGGTCCTTCACATGCTATTACCGGGCCAAAACAATTTCTGGGTACTAGAAGCTCAGAAATACATGACTAGTATGTCATGATTGTTTTTTCTGATCATCAACTGTTAATACCACTTAATGAATTTCAGCCAACTGCGTCCATTTGATGGGAACATCCCAACCATGTAAAGGTTACTGTCAAAGCAGATGGCATTTCAAACAAATCAGAGAGTTAAGCTGAAACTAAATTGAAATCTGAGGAACAGAGGGACGGTATTAAAGTGTATTAGTAAGGCGAAGAATTGACAGTAAAATTGTTTTCAAACCAGACTGTATTCTATTAAAGACTTGAAACGCTTACTGCTTTCAGTCACTTACAGTGGACAACAGATATGTCAACTTTAAAGACTTGTACTCAAGTTTCGTAAATGTGTGATTTGGATTGTAATGTGCCATGGTGGAGTATAATCTCCATCTTTTTCTCTCTGTCATGTCCTCTTCAGCTGCAGTTAAAGGGCGCCTGGAGGAAGAGAATGAAGCACTAATGAAAAGGAGTATAAGCTGGAGTGGAGAGCTCAGGTCAGCGTGACTACGTTTTGACCAACACACATCCACACACATGTCCAATCTACATTCACAATGGCAGGGCTACACACACTGTATGTACATACTTGGGAAACAAGAAAGCAATCACGTCTAACAGGGGACTCTGATCCAACATAGTGCTTCCACTCTTACATGTCAAGGTCCATAAAAGTAATGTTTCTTCTGACTCTTAAACTTTGTAAATCCACGGGGGTCACTGTACTGATCTGCAGTGTACGTTCTTTTATAGTTATATAGCTCTCCCTTATTACCATACCGATATAGTAATAATCATGGGCTGTACTGTACTTCCATAATGGAAATACAGTATCTGCCCTATAATTAGGGCTGATTATCAGTACTTTATACCCTTAAGGCATTGCCCTTAATAGCCCAGTTCCAAGAAGTATCAAAACTTCTCCAGTCAAACAATCACCACAAGTGTTCAATTCAATGCAGTATGATTGTCCCACTGCCCCAGCAGCTATAATATACAGTCTGTGATATGGTGAAGTTTAATGCAGTGTATTTGTCAGAGCTGGCTATTCAGTGTGCCAAGATGCCACCAAAATGATACAAAATATGGCTATGCTTAACATCTGTGGTGTCTGGTGACATTTTACACAACTTCCATTCACATGATGGTGTCAAATGAAGCAGAAAAACAAGGTATCAAATGATAATCTGTTGGTATCGGTATCACTTCGAGGGCACTGGTATTTGAATTTTTAAAATGATACCCAGCTCTAACTTTAATGCTGTAAAATGTTGAATGCATAATGTACTATAAGCAACCACCTGCAGATCCATGTAGAGTAGCAGCTAGATGACCTGACCTTAGCTCAGGTTATGGTTAACTCACTAGCCACCCTTGCAGCAGTTAGTATGGTGGATCATGTTAGCTGGGGAAGTAATCTGGCAAGCCAGCCAACTGACATATGCACTCACATAGTATTTTGCTAGTGATAACATTGACGAGCAAGCAAGCTAAGTTAGCCGGCTATCTCTAACTAAGCTACGCTGCATTGATCTGGCATTGGTTGCTTCATAGTGTCAGCTGATAAAGTAATTGCAAACGGCATGCTGACTAATTTGCCAGCCAGATCAGCCTCTAGTCTGGAAGAACTAAATGACGTTAATGACTCAAGACAATATTTTGCTTTATTAGCTAGCTAGCAATTTGTCCACGTTAGCAAGCTTGTTAAAGTTAGCCAACGTAAGTTGATCCAAATTACAATGTCACAATATATCTCACGTCAGTGCTTCTGTAACGTTAGGACTTCTTTCCAGCACTGGGGGGCACTGAAATTGTCATACTGGGCAACAAATGAGACAATAATTAGCCAGCTAGCCAGCACATCCCACCAGAGCTCCGAGCTGCTAGGGCACTCTCCTGGCAACTGATCTTTCACTAAGTCCCGCCCCTCAAATACAGACTGGCCAATCATAGTGTAGCATTGGCCAGCTCCGACAAGGGTCGGACAACAGGCTGTGCTCCATGGACTCTCATACAATCCTTTCAGATTTCTGGCTGGTTTAGTGGATCAGGAGCTAAACGTTCTGCTTGGGGCACATCTATTAATGATACTCCTTACCTGGAGAGGTTGGAAGGAGATATATGTTTTTGCCTGTTCCAAAACCAAAATCAAACCCTGAAAAGTGTAGGGTTAGCTCGTAAGCTAGCTAGCTACTGAAGGGATAGCTCACTGAATGCACACACATGCTACTTTTGCTTTTTAATGATTATAACAGTGAATAAAAACCTACCCTGCTCTACAGGGATCAGTGAAGGGAAGCAGGGAAACTTTGCAGATATTCAACCAGCTGTGTGTCATTGCAATGTGTACAAATGAACAGTGTTTGGCTTCCCCCAGAGCTCCCTTCCCATCACCTGGTGGAGGTTCACCGGCTGTGGCAGTGGCCATGGGGGGAAGCCAAACAACTTTAATCTGCACACACTGTGATGACACACAGCTGGTTCAAAATCAGCAAAATGTCCCTTTATTTTCATTGTCTGCTGTCTTGATCGCCAGTGATGTGGTCATTTACTTCTAAACTGTGATCTGTAGCCTATAGTTAGGATTTAGCTTCTACCTTCATCTTTTTAATGTTTGCTGCTGAGTTAGTTTCACATCCTGGATACTTCCTTCAAATGTATTTTGTAGACCCCTCTGTCTGCCTTCTCTGAAATTAATTTTTTGTTTTTCCAAAAATTTCTTCAGGGAGTGCAGTTAGTTACAGTGTGCACTCATGCCAGCTCTGAGAGCTTGACAAACCATCGCAAAGGGGTGGGGCTTAGCGAAAGGTCAATTGATGGCAGCCTTAGACCTTAGCCACCGTAGCAACTCAAGTTCAGCCAGTGCAAGCCTCAGCCCTAGGGTTCCCAGTGGGCTGACGGCTAGCGCAGCGCAGGGCGTAATCTATGGAACTGCAGCAACAGAAGTTTGCTAATCTGGTGGGGACTTCTGGTGGTCAAGAAGGTAGTCCAGGATCAGACCCCTGGCACTCGGGCGCTTGGTCTTGCTCTGGCTGAATTTGAGTTGCTGCAAATGAAGGTCATTTTCCGCCAGGCCACTGCTGCAAAATGTGTATTACGAAAACACAGCATGTGTAGACAGTGTTGTGATGGGTGTTGGTCATTTGTTGACGGTACCAGACTCCATCTCTTAGCCAACTTTAGCTAACATTGCTAATGGAGCTGAAGAGAGGTGAGGCACAGGAATGCACATATTGTCACATCCTTTGGATTTTCTGGGAAGTCTTCTTCTGCGACTCCTTTACTTGGAAATCAGTCCACAGGCTGCTAGAGGCAACAGAAAAAGGCAGGGAAAGGTCACAGTTTTTGAGTTACATTATAACCTGTTCACTCAATGGCAATAAAAAAACAATTTATGCATTTTTAAAGATACATACAGTACCTCTAATAAAAACACTAACAATAATAAGTGTTGTAGATAACTAAAATAAAAGGAAATTTCAGCAAGAGTTACGAAACTAAAATTGAATTTAATTCTAGCTTTGCTTTACTTTTTTGTTATTTGATGCCAGTATACTCTGGACTGTCACACTCAATATTACTAAACCATAAATGGCCAAGGTTTTTTAAAAAGAAAAACTAATCTGTGAAGGCCCCTCAACAACACAGAGGTTCAGCAACCAGGTCTTTCAATCAAGGAAGCCTTTAATAAACAGGTCAGCCAAACAAGCCTGCCTTGGCCAAAAGTTTGCATTAAGACTCTGTGCACCTGCCAGCAATCAAGGTATGGTGAAATTCAGATCTTCACTAACAAAGTAAAATTTCTCTGTAGGTGGATTGCTAATAAAAAATGTTGGGACTGGCCATGGCCTCTGTGCCTGGATAGTTTATTGAAAATATCAGAGAGAATCATTGTGGATTTGAATTTAATTTGTAATTGTTGTGCCTTTCTGCCTGTGGTTCTGAATGTGATTGTAACCTCTGTGAACTTTTGATAGGCATCACTTTGACCCAGACTTTTCACACTTCCTCTAAATAGTTTCAAGTGGGAAAAAAGCAATTAGCAACACACACCCAATATGCACAAAATACGCCACGTGTATTTTGTGGATAGCTTTTGTGGGTTCAGCTGCCTCAGCTATTGCTAATACTTTAGGTGCAGAAAATCAAACATCCAACAGTCCAATCTCTATTGACAAGCAGTAGAATTCAATAAAATGGGCCACTCATAAGCACTCAGTGCTTTTCTTAGACTTCATTTTTTGAACACACTTTTATAGTAAGCCATGTTTACCATGAGTCAGTGTCTTGAGTTTCTGGCCTGCTAGATTTGTCTCAGTCACTTGCGCTTGCTGTCATTATAAAGGAAAGGACTTCGACAACTCTATATCAGTGCCTCTGGTTTTAGAATGAGAAGTTTAACAATCACATGAGTGTAATGTTTGTGCCACATAATGGTGAAGGTTCTCAGTCATCCAGGTCATGGTAATCTTAAATGCTACATCATAGGCAACTGGACTTGCTTGGGTTTCTTGAAGATGTTTCACCTCTCATCTTAGAGACTTCTAAAGTTCTTTGTGCCACATACTTTGGCCATTGACTGTTTGCTCCTGCATGTCTCATTTCTAGTTGTGAATTCCCTCTTGGAAGTTTCTTCCTTGATCTGCTAGCTGGCAAGTCTCAGGACAAAAAGTGATGGATAGTTAGTTAAACATAGGTATGGGTCTTACACAGGAATGTGTAATGCTAAGAATGAGGATGGATAGTTGAACTCATTTCCATGTGTTTCCAGAACTGGAGGTGAACCTTCACTCACTGCTGGTCTCACTCTCAGTATCAGAAGAAGATAAAACTCTAACACCTATCTTTCGGTTTGGAGATGACCATGAATCTGTTGTGTGTTTCATACTGTATTACAGTATGTATTTAAAGGAATAGTTAGCCATTTTGACAAAGGAACTTCCAGAAAGTGGCCACATCTGGCAAAGAAATAGTCCAGCACGTAACCTTTGGTAAAAACCAAATCTGTTGTTTTTACGCTTTGTTTTTTATAAGAATTAAAGAAACATTTTGAATGTTAATTTGTGAGCCTTATGGGTGCTGCTTGGCTGATTTTTTTTATTTTTTTTTTTAAGCTTTGGACAGAGCAAGGCTAGCTGCTTACCCCATTTACAGTATTTATGCTGGGCGAACCGAGCCATCTACAGCTTCATGTTTGACAGTCAGTTATAAGAGTGGTCTCAATAGTCTCATATAAATCTCACCAAAAAAAGCGAATAAGCATATTTCCCAAAATGTCAAATTATTTCTTGAAGCATGTTTGCTTGTCTGTGTTTATCCTTCAGGTGTAGCAGTAATGACAGAAAAACGCTCTTTGCAGAGTGCAGCACGGGGTTGATTGGCTGCAGAGATGCACCCAGGTGGGGCACAAATGTAAAGACCTGCAGGCTCGTCTGGGGCAGAGACCTACCTCGCTTATACAGTGCCAGAAACACACACAGGACACCAGGAGCAGGTGAGAGAACCACCACTTTCTTAAGCATTTAGATTTTTTACTTAAGCAAATTAAAACTCTTAAGCTGACATCCGAAATATTTCTGCACAATGTGCTGTAATTTAACAAGAAATATAGCTTAACTGATTTTTGCCAGTGAGACTTATTTTCGCTGCCATGAATAAGTTAATCAGAGTAATACATTCTATATAGATAACTCAAATGATTACCTGCCTGAAACGTACAATTGTTAGAGTATAGTTTCTGTTTACCAGCCAAATGTTGGCTGCGAAAGTAATGATATGGTTGTTGTAGTTCACAAAACAGAGCTACAATGGATTCATTGGTAAGTTACATAGGGAAAGAAGGGTAAGTCTTACCTTGCACAGCAGCTGGATTCAGGTGATATCACAAGATCAAATAAAAATCCATCCTGTCAGGCCTCCAGTAAGGGACTTGGCATTTCATCTGGGGGTGGTACCTTACGTCCTGTGTCATGCAGAGTGTTGTGTGCCTGATAAGCATTCATGTCAGCTTGCATTGGGTCATCTTGTAATTTTTTGAAGAAGCTAGCAAAACTGTAACCATAGAAGTTGTTTCTTAACCTAATCTTTGCCTTGAGATTAAACGTACAGGAGACCTCACGCCTAACTGTAACTTCAAACAGTGAGGATTTTAAATTCTTTTGTGAGTCTTGATTTACGAAGATACACTTCGATTTCTGCTCCTTGTACTACTAGCAAGGCTGCAAACACAATGAGTCTTCCCTGCAGATTTTCAAATGACTTACCTGACTGCTGATAGGTTCTCAAATTGACCATCATATTTTTACGCTTGAAAATATGTACAACTGAGTAGTGCTTAAATATATTAATATTTAGATGGACTAAATCATCGTCCATGTACATCAGTATGAGACCAAATATACAAATTACAAGAAAACATGAATAATATATTCTGTATGCTTTCATCTCATATTGTGTGTCTGTATTATTCAGTCTAGTTTGCCAAAATTCAAAGCTTTAGAAAACATCAAGCCCAAAATTTGTCCCATCAGTCCATCTTCTTATTTTCATCAAACCAAAATCATTCAGGATTTTTGTTATAATATAAAGCATTAAAGTGCACTCACTGGCAGAGATGGTCATGGAGCTCGCCGAAGTGAACGTGTTTGGAACAATTAGCATCCTGTTAGGAAGTACTGGCAGCTACGGTCACGGTATAGGTGTGCATGACGAGACAAGAAAAGGGGGACTGTTTATTCGAAACAACAATGGCATTTTTTTTTTTTTTTTTTGGAAGTTTAGGGTAGATGCTGCAAGATCATTAGTTATATCTCATCTGGAGAGGTTTTTTTTTCATGCAATGAAGGTTTTTCTCCATGTTTTCACTCTTCTTCTGGCTTTGGCGTCTGTGATAGACAAGACAGACAGATGGTTCAACCAATCACATGCCAAGTATTTCTTAAAAGTGCCTGCCCTTTTCCAAACAGTTAACAATGACAGCTGCTCAGATTTGTTCTGTGTAACAAACCAGCTGGAGCGTCAGGTGAGGGTAAATCTGCAGCATTGTAAACAAGCACCAGCACCGACTTTACTTTCCAAAGTATTGAGAGTTATTACTGCCTGTCTGTCTACATAGTGTATATGCATTGTCTTGCATTAGCACCTCAGGTTTAATGCATTGCCTTTCTCTCTCCGGCACCCATTACTGCAACACTACATTATTCTTATTCACTGGAGGTGTAGGAAATTGTATGCAAGAGAAAAGACGATTTTATGTGTGTGTGTGTTAGCACCGGCAGACGTGTGTATAAGTTTGCAGGCCTATTTATTTTATTCATGCACATGTGCACGTATGTGTGTGTTTGTGTGTGGGCACATGTGGGTTTCTGGTATTTGTCTCCTCAGTCTGTGTGTCACCTTTGTTGACTTTGTCTCTCTCCTTCTGCAACACTGTGCTCTCCGTTTTAATGACGCATATATCCTATCTCCAGTCGCTGCCTAATCCTTGCAGCGCTGGCTCAGGAACAGATTACTGCTTCCAGACACCAGAGGAGAGAAGAGCAGAGCGGGGTGGGGGTTGGAGGGTAGAAAGGTAGAAAGAGATGCCTCAGTGATACAATATACAGAGAGATCGAGGGGGGCCAGCACATGCATGTGAACGTGCACACATACACATGACATCCATTGAGATAATTTTGAATAGAAATACATCCACTGTCTGTTTATGCTTTGTTCTGTTACACCACATACTCATTTCATTTACCTTTTTTAAAATGAAAATGAGCTCTGACATTTTAGATTAGAAATAAATGTATCACACAAACAGTCAGTGCAATGCGCAGTGGAAAGCTTTGTCCCCAAATGCCTAGTGTAAGAAGATAAAAAGTAACACTGTGAAAGCAAGACACTGGACATCTTACTGATTGCTGTGCTTTCTTGCCATTACATGCAGAGTTGTCCAACATGGCTGCCTCAATCAGCAGGTACAGTGCTCCCGTCAGCTCAGACCTCAGCCAACAGAATCAAAATAGTGATTTTACGAGGTAGGGCGTTCTCCATAGCAGATCAATAAAGTCTTGTGTTATTATTGCATTTTGTTCACATTATTATTCCCTTTGTAGGATCACAATGTTTTTTATATTTGCTCAGCCAGTTCCAGGCACCCTCTGGCCTGCTGGGCTTTATTTCTACAAACTGGTAAACATGTTCTGTATTGTCAGCTGCTACTTAGCACTCAGTCATGTGTTTCCTTATACATCCAATTTTGAGGGTTATTCAAGATACAGTACATATTAAAGCTTGGGACATAGTGGAAGTAGAAGGTGTAGGTAAGCTTGCCCCCTTCTAAACATGGTTATCTTGTGGGTAATTAGAGCCTCCAGCAGACCCATAGCTCCAGGTGTAAATAATTGGGAGTGGTATGTGCTGAAGTGGTGTTGTCTGTCCAGCGGCTGCTGTCATCATGCCGGCTGCCTCCCAAGAACATGACTTTTAGGACCAAATGATTGCTAATAAAACATTTGATTGAGAGGAGAAGAGAGTGAGCGCCATAAACAGGCTGGATTCTGCCCTTTAATTTCGCCATCGTCAGAGAATTGGTTTTGCTGTGCTGCAGAGTAGGTCCCACACACAAGCAGTTTAGTTGTCTGCCCAAGGACTGAAATTTAATTTAGCCAGTGTGTTGTGAGTGTGGGTGTGCACGTGTGTGTGTGTGTGTGTGTGTGTGTGTGTGTGTATGCGCATGCGCCTGTCAGTCTGACTGTCTTTGTCTGTGCCTGTGTGTCTGTCTGCATGAGTCAGTTTGGAGTGCCTCTGTGTGCAAAAACTGGCTTTGCATGAACTGCATATGTAAGAGCTTGTGCTGCAGTGTTTGTGTGTTCGTGCTGTATTTTGTGCTTTTTTTTTTTTTTATTCTCCAGTGAATTAAGCATTTTACTCCGCCAGGTTGTTACAGTACCATTTTACACTGTCTGGTTGTACTGAGGCGGTTATTTGCTCCGTGCACTGCTCTGTTGTTTCTGGATTTGAATACTTCTTAGTGTAGTTTTTGCAATTGATGTGTTATCATTGTGCTAACCTGTAAACCTAAGAATGCCCCCAGTAGCTGTTGGCATCATCAGTTTGTTGTAGAAAACATTTTGGCAGTAATTTTTAGTTGAGTGTATGCTGATTGCATGTTTAGAAAGTACATCAGCCGAATTGTTTAACAGTGGATGCGTTGGGATTTCAGTGTGGCTAGTTTGTAGCACTTCTTTGTGTGTATGTACGTGTGTGTTTATGGTGCTGGTTCCTGATGAAAGCCTAGAGCAGACGCATATATCAGAGTTCCAGCACTAATAAAAGGCCAGCAAGCTGTGCTCCTCTCCTTCTGGGAACAGCACTGCTTTTTACTGCTTCTCTGACAGCAAGATAAAGTGCCCTTCCAATTAGAAAAATATTTGGCCACATACCTACCAACAGCAATCCTGGGTTTTTATTTTTCATGCCATTTGATCAGGAATCCTTGCTATTTTTACAGTGTGCTTTCTTATCATCGGGTCCTGGGTATGCACATGTTAATGTGCACCCCGCCACTGCACCATAATGCTGTATAATGAAATAACCGTGGTTTTATTTTGGTGTCTCTTCTCTCATTTTGGTCTTTCTTCCAGATGGGTAGGGCTGTGTTCACTTCTGCTTTGGTTTGGGAGTGAGGCAGTATGTGTTTTAGCATTTTGCATGAGAGGATTCATGCTGCTGTGTGTGTTTGTGTTGATGTCATTCTTGTTGCCCCTGTCATCCGTCTGTGCCTCATACAGAGATGTGTGCATATATACTTAACCGCTGATGCTAGTCCCCATCTCTGTTTAAGAATACTGTAGATGGTTTTTTCCCCCGTTTTTTGTTTTTTTTTTTTGTTTTTTTTTTTTCCCAGAGAGTGCATTAAAATTAAATTCTCTCTTGTTGTTGTGAAAAGAGGCACACGTAAAAAATAATTGGCTGTAGGAGAGAACAAAGGGCTGGCTCCTCTCTCCTCCCTGCACACCCCAGCCAGGCATTAATATCAAGCCTGCTGCATTGTTCTGCTGTCTGCAGCCATCCCCCTAGCCAGACACTCAGCTCTGGAGAAGTCACTTTTAATGTCTGATAATCAAGGTGAATTTTCAAAAAGCTGCCATTTTCAAATGATGGTGTATATATTATGTGTAGATGGGAGTTCAGGAGCAGAGGAGCTCCACTTGGTGAGAGAGGGAGCGTCAGCCATGCGAAGTGAAAGAGAGACACCTAACGGCCACAGAGGGAACTGCAGGCTGATTTTTAGCTCTAATCAGAATTCTGTGAAGGACGGAAGCCAGCTGGTGTATCAGTGTCACTGCCGAAATTTGCCTGATAATTTCCTTTGGATTTAAGATATTTGTTTTTTGAGTGTGTCCGTGTAAAAAGCACCTCAGTGTCTGCTACAATGTACACAGTCCAATATTGCAGCATCTGTATGTGTCTCCTGTGGCAGTGGGGTGTCAGGGGAGTGTATT